CCCCCCCCCCCGCTTCTGTCTCCGCCCGAGGCATCCTCCAACCCCCGCTCAACTAACTTCCCCGCCTCGCCACCTGGCTTCCGCTGGCGGCGTCCCTGCCCCCACAAGCATGGCTCCGTTGCCTGCGCGAGGCGGACCTCCTCTGCCCGCTGATTGAGGCCGACTGCGGCATGGCTCCCCTGATGGAGCCCCTTCCCGGGAGCACATACTCCCGGACCAGCTTCGTGGACCTGCGCCAACGGGCGCACACCATCCTCTCGGTGTCCCTGATGGAGCTTTCCTACCTGGACGGGTTCCAGGTGCTGCCAGCCGAGTCGGTGGGGCCGCTGTTCCCCGGGGCCCTGGGGGCCGCGGGGCCGGCCCGGCCGGCGGCCACCGGGCTCCCGGCGCCTGGCGAGCCGGCCGCCGGATGGCTCACCCTCCTGGACCGGCCGTTCGCCCCGTCGAACCAGAGCCATGCGGCCATGGTGTCGCGCGATGGGCGCCTTCGGCGCCTGCACCAGGCCGCCGGCATCCTCTGCGTGAATGCCGCCTCCAAGACGCCCCTGGTCTATGAGGCACGTGAGACCCGCGTCCGGGGGGAGGGGCGGGGGGCGGCCATTTGGCCCATCCCGCGCTTGGTGTTGCTCGGGGCGTGGGGGCTTCTTCTTTTTTTTTTTCTTTTTTTTCTTGCTCGACTCCAATGCTGACCTCCGCCGCTCTCGCCCATCGCTCCCCTCCCTGCCGCGCCGGCTGACAGGTTGTGTGCGTGCAGCATGCCGTTCAGATGTCCCGCCCCGCGGTGGACCTGTATCAGAGCACGGTCAGCCGCCGGGCCTGGAGCCGGTGGTCGCCGGCCCTGCCAGGGAGCACGACCCAGGCAGCCGGCGACCCGGCTCCAGCCATGTCCCCGGCCCCCCTCTCGGGCTTGGCGCTGGCCCTCTTCCCCGGGCATGAGCGCCTGCTGCTGGAGCTTGGGCCGGATGGGGTGCCGGCTGCCCACCGGGCGGCTCTCGGCATCTCGCCGGCCGACATGCCGGAGGTGGTGCACTTCTGCCCGCAAACCGACGCAGCCCGGGTTTTCCAGAACGTGCTGGCTGACGTGGCGGACATCCTGGTGGGCATGTCGGTCGGCGCCGCGCCGCCGGCCCAGTCGCTCGGCCTGGTGCCGCCGTCCTTCCTGCCGTCCTTCCGAGCGGGCTTCCGCCGGCGGGAAGTGAGCGACGGGGGCGGCGGGGCCGGGCCCCTGCCGAAGACCGCCCCGCCGGCCGGGGCCACCCTGCCAACTGCCGGCCCGGGGCCGGGCGTGGCTCCGGCGTCGGGGCGCTCGCGACTCCGACCGCGGCCGGGCGCGCCCGGCGCGGCGGCCGCCGACAGCCCGCACGTGGCGGCCTTGCCGCCGGCACCGGACGAGCCGCTGGCCGAGGTGCCGTCGGCCACCGGGGCCGGGCCGGCCGGCACGCCGGCCGGCTCCAACTCCGTCAGTGTCTGCCGGTCGCTGCTCACCCGGCCCACCATGCTGGAGGACTTCAACCCGCCGGTGGCCATCTGGCCGGACACGCACACCCGGCACTGGGCCACCCCGTCGATCCCGGCCCCGGCGAGGCACTTCTCCAACTCCCTGAACCCGCACCTGTCGGCGGAGAGCGCCCATGCGCTGCTGGCTTCGGAGAACAAGATCGACGCGCACCTGGCCCAGACCAACCTCTTCCTGGACTGGTCCATCGAGCGCGAGCGGGCCTTTCTCCTGTCCTGCTTCTCGCCCCTCGAAGACCCGACCCTGCCGCTGGAGCGGACGTACCTGGCCCCGCGCCGGGCCCCGGGCCTGGCGGCCTCCGGCCCCTCGGGCGGCGAGCTGGCTGACGAAGAGGCCCCCGGGGTGGCCGACGCGCGGGGCGCCCTGGCCGCCGGGGCGTCCCCTGGCCCGCCGGTCCCCTCGCCTCTCAGTCAGCTGCCCGGGCCGTCGCAGAGCTGGCTCGGGGTGCGGATCTTCCCCCTGTGACGTGGCAGGCCATCCGGGCGGGGGATCCGGCCGCGCGCCGTGCCGCATTCCAAATACCACTTCAAAAGGATGTGGGTCCGTGTGTGTGTGTGTGTGTGTGTGTCTGTGTTCATTGTCTACCTGCCGGGGGGAGGGGGACATGTTCGTGTGGGGAGAGGCGGGTGAATGCCGGGAGAGGAAGGAGCGGAGGAACATGCTTGTGTCCGGTGTTCGCGCGTGGGCAGAGGCGCGCGCACACACATGCACGAACACCCACGCGCACATTCCCGCATGCATGCGCAACATGCGGCCGTATCATGAAAACACATGTAGCACGCCAAAGAGACGCACATACGCATGGACACACCCCTGGCTTGAAGAAGGCCAGGGGAAGAGCCCGGCACGCACATGTATGCGCCAGGCCGCATGCACCAATTGTGGTGCGCCCCATGGCCCCATACACTTGCTCAGGCCGGATTTGCCCGTGCCATGCCCCGGCACGTTTGGATGCACTGGCATCCCCCCGTCGCGCGCGCGCGCGCACACACACACACACACACACACACACACACACACACACACACCTACATGTGGACATCCATCCGCCCGCGTCTATTTCATGCCCACCCGGCGAGGGCGGCGGAGGAACACGGGCACACAACTTCCACCGGCCCGGGACCAGGGGCAGACATGGAGATGAGGGGGGGGGACGGAAAAAAGGCACGACCAAGAGAGCTACATGAACTGCTTCAGCAGGAAGCCCCCGAAGGCCATGTCTTCCGGCGGGTAGGGGGCCTCATCAGCCGGAGTGCTGAGCCCGGCCCCGGCGGGGGGTCCGGCGCAGGTCCCGGCGAAGAGACTGCTCAGGGAGAGCGGTGACCCGCCACCGGGGCCCACACCAGCCACATCCACCACGATGCTCCCGTCGCCGAGGACCGGCAGCAGGCCCGACGAGGCGGCCGGCGAGGCGGACGAAGCCAGCGCCACGCCGGCCGCCGCCGCGGCCACCACCCCCGGCGGGTCGACTGGAGACCCGGCCGTCGCGGCCCCCGGCGCCAGCCCCGCAGCAAAGATGAGCGTCCAGTCGGCCCGGCCACCGGGCTCCAGCAGCCGCGACAGGGACGATTGCCGGGGGTCGGCCCCGCCGGCGGCCAGCAGGACATCCTCCTCGTCGAGGAAGACGTCGGCCGCCAGGCGGGCATCTGGCCGCCGGCCGGCGGCCAGGTCCCCTGGCGCCCCGGCCTCCGAGGCGGACACCGGGGCAAAGAGGGCCGCCGCCGCGACCGGCTGGTGCCGCAGCAGGCGGACCCACTCGTCGGCGCGCCGGGCACACAGGTCCGCCGATAGCTCGAGCCCGGTCGGGTGCAAGCGCTCCGGGCTCAGCCGGTGGAGCTGCATGGCCCCCGGGCAGAGGGAGGAGGCCACCCGGCCGGCGGCGGCGGCGGCGGGTGAACACCAAAGCAAGAGGCAGGACATGTGTCAGCGCAGAACCACATGGCCAGGCCCCGTGCACGCAATCAGCCAGGCAGACGAGGATGGACCAAGAACCGGATGCCGGCGTGCGTACCTGGGAAATCTTGGCGAAGCAGATGATGGCCCGCGCGGCGAGGCCGCTGCCCTCGATGGCCGAGCGAGCGCTCTCGGACGCGCGCATGGCCGTGCTTGGGGCCCCGGCGGCCGACGCCGCCGCTACGGCCGCCGCCACACTGCCGCTGCTGGCCGAGGACTCGGTGGCGTACGTCCGCGTGCCGAGACCCCGCGCCGCCAACTTGCCCAGGGTCGTGATGACCACCGAGAGCAGTTGCGGCAGGGAACTCGACGACCCGGCGCCGGGCCGAACAGGCCGCCGGGCCGGGCTCGGCTGGCCAAGGCGCGCCCGCGCCCGCGTCGGTGGGCTGATCAGGGCCGACAGAGCCTGGCTAATTTCATGTGCCAGGGCCTCGATCTTGTCGCAGTAATCCGCCACCGCCAGCGCGGCGAATGGCCCGGAACCCGGGGTAACATAATCCCCGATGAGCTGCACGCCCGGCGGGGGGGGGGGGG